TGGTGGTGGAAGTGGTGGTGGTGATGGTGGTGGAGGCGGTGATGGTGGTGGTGGTGGTGCTGGTGCTGCTGGCTGGGGAGGCAGAACCAATCCTGGAAGCTTTTCCATCTGCAACAGTCTAGCAACCTATTCATGGTCCCTTCCCTGCTTCCACAGCCCTGCCTTGGCCAGGGATGGCTCGGTCTGCCTCCGTGACTGCCATGACTTCCTGTGTTTCCATGCGTTCTAATGGGCTGTGTGGCCATATGAGGGGCTCATGCAGATGGTCTCCTTCATCTGGATGAGTTCCCTTGGACCCACTGGAAACATTGAGGACTTTCTGTCAAATAGATTTGAATGTGGGTCTTTTCCCCTAGGAAAACCTTTTGTTCTAGCCTTTTGGTGAGGGGTCTAGCACTCGGGCCTCCGGGGTCTCCTTCTTCAGCATCTATACCTAGTACTCAGTAGACAGTCAACAAACGCTCCCCCAGCTCCTGCCCAGAGCAAGGAGTCCTTCCATGCAGGCCCCCCACAGGGTGCAGTGGGCTCACATAGACCAGACTGTTGGACATACCAGATTATATGGGATCTCTTGGAAGCATGTGATATTTCTCTAATTTATACAGCATTTTTGTCACTCCTAACATTTTCTTTTGTTGCTTTTGGTGAGCTAAGAAAATTCTAAGATAGACCCGATTATGTATGAGAGCTTGCAAACTTGTCAAATTGGGGTTTGGGTTTTTTTTTACCCCCTTCCCTTATGATGACATTAGAGACTACTTATTCAATTCATGTAAAATATAACGGATTTGGCCAGTGACTAATCTATTTTGACTGGAGAAGGACCGAGGGACCTTGGGATAAAGGTGGCCTTGATACAATGTTCAATGTCATGGAAGTGTTTGGGAGAAAAGATTAGTAAGAGCGATCTCTATGTGTTGTTCATGGATCCTTAGGAAGATGGACACATGAGATCCTTGTATGAACAAATACTGAAATCATGTCCTATTAACCCAATTCTGTACACCCCAAATCCCAGTAAACAAGATCAGAGAAGGGTCAGGAGAGATGGAAAGGCAATCAAGGTGGTGCGGAGAGAATCCGTATAAGAAATTAACTGCTTGGGTTGACATTGACAGAAATAAGATGCTCATTGATTGATTTGAACAAAAGTAGTGGAGTCACCAGAAAAGGGGTGGTGTGAGTCTCTGAGTGGGGCAAGCTAAGCCCTCGCTGCTGATGAAGGCTTCAGCTCACCCAGAGGCACCTTGAGGCTCCCAGAAGACAGGCTGGACATCTACTTCCAAACCCCCTGCTGCGGTGAAAACCAAGACCATGCTGCCTGCTGACCCTATCGGACAGAGAAGAACTGGCCCCGAGGGGTTGCCAAGAAAGCCTCATCTCTCTTCTGCAGGGCGGCTAGTGGTTTCAAACTGTTGATCTTGCGGTTAGCAGTTTAACACGCAACTTACTACACCACCACGGTTCCAGCCATTGCGATAGGGGTGTTCAATTCTTATCTGCCATAGGGGGAAGTCTGAGACAGATAACTTACGGAATAGATTGATGAACTTGTGCGCATGTGTGTAAAATGATAGAGGCTACCAGAATACATTGTTAAAAGTCTATTGTCTTTTAAAGGCAAGGAAATAATCTCTCCTTGTTTTTCCCTGTGAGGTCTTTTGGAGTACATGAACGTTTAGGTCTTTATATTTATAGATTAGATAAAAGGAACTTTAACTAGTTAAGAAATTAACACGGGTTGAAAAACTACCCCCCGAAATTTAAGAACCAAATGTAAAGTGCATGCCAATCGAAGCAGCCACGTCACCACTCAGAAATTATGCGAAAGCTATGTAAGAACACAGAGCTGCTTTACAACAGTGTTCTTTTCATCAGAGCAAGATTTGGTAATCTAGCAAATACCCTTTGGTTGGGAGTCAATTCTGGCTCACAGAGAGCCGACAGGACGGGAGTGAGCACTAGGACAGTGGTATCAGTAGAGGGTGTCACCCACAAAAATGAACTCCCACAGTGTCACCCCTCCCCGCCAGGGCCCTCCACCCTTACCAGAAGGTGCAGAATCCTTAGTAACTTTTATCATCAATTTTAATCACAGAATAATACATGATAAATTAGTTTCGAAAGGCTTACATGTAATATATTTTAGATTGCATAGAAACTAAGAGGAAAATTGTTTTATAAAATCTTTCTGGGTTGAATTACATTACCCATTACAGCATTATTAGTAACTGAACAGAAGCCTTTTAAAACCTTTTCCTGCTTTTCCTTTAATAACTTCTCCATTTACCAAAACAGTTACTGATACCAGTTCACAAAAACGGATTTCCACAGTATTGTCACTAAGCACCAGAAACCTGGACAAAATCAGTGACTGTAAAAACACCAACAGGTGTGCAGATAAAACCATGTGATTCTAAGCATCACTGTAAGCGGGGAGTAGAAACAGCCCTGTTCTGAGCAAAAAGCACATTAGCATAGAGTTTCCGCCTTATAGATATATTGATACATGT